ATAGAACACTCCGAAACATTCTCAGCTTCCCGGGAAGCATACAGTGCAAGCAGCTGATTAAGAGCTCAAACACTAACAAACTGACAAGATCTTTCGCTGTCTATAGCCGGGTATCCATTCCCACCTGGGTGTAGTGAGGAAAATTCATGTAAAATGCTTTTCCCAAGGACAAAACGTCGGGCCCCTGATGAGATTCGAAACCACAACCTTACGGTTGCGAGTCCGAGAGCCTAACCACTAGGCCACCGACGCCACTGGTACGGTTTTCTGCCCCCTTGAACCAATGCCAGCCACAAGACAATGGCCTTCAACAGTCATGGTCTCCTGTCAGACCCGACAGAACAATATAGGATAGGCCTTCCTTATGCTCGCCCCTCTACGTTCTTTTATACAGTGCGTCTAGGCTAGGCTCTCACCCTCCCCAAACTTGGTGAATATCGCTCGCACACCTCGGGGGGTCAAAGGTCAGACGGACCTGCGTCAAATAAAATTTTTAAAAACATAATAATTAATTGTGTTGCCCCTCCGACAGTCTAACCGTTTGGAGTGGCCTGACTCCAAGTGTGTTGCGTGGTGATAATCTGTTCTTCTCAATCCTTTTCGGGACTTACACGACGACCGTTTTGTGGTGCTTACTTTACTTTACTTTACTTTACTTTACTTTACTTTACTTTATTCTTCCGCTTGTACCGGTGGGTGTCGCGGGGAGATACAGGCGTCTGTCTGAAGCAAGGCGAGTGGCCTGTTGCTTGCAAGTGCAGTAAAACTCTTGCAACAACAAAAAGTCCATACCTCAACCTTTTTCTCTCTCTCGGCTGATACTTCTACTAACTGATGTGAACATGTTTCCCTGGATAAAGAAGGCAGTGGCAGCACTGGTAGGTTCGCTCTGGTCCCAGCCATACGCCGTGTGTTCGAGCCTCCTCGTGGCCCGGCGGTCGGTGACGTCACAAGAGTGGTGGGTGACGCTGGAGTTGGCCAAGAGGACGTCATTGGGCGTGCTGCGGCTGTGTCTCGTGGTGGTCATTCTGGTGGTCAGGATATGGACGGCGCTGCTCCGGCGGCCGCTCAGAGTAGGTGAGTGGGGACATGATATCTATGGTGGGGACATAATATATTGTATAAAATAGGCGAGATAGGCGAGTGGGTACATAAAATTGTAATATTGTAGAAAATAGGTGAGTGGGGACATAATATAGTTATACTGTATAAAATAGGAGAGTGGGGACATAATATAAGATCTTGTATATTGTATAATTTAGTTGAGTGGGGACATAATATTGTAATATTGTATAATATAGGTGAGTGGGAACATAATATTGTATTATTGTATAATTTAGGTGAGTGGGGATATAATATTGTAATATTGTATAATTTAGGCGAGCGGGAACATGATATTGTAATATTGTATAATCTAGGTGAGTGGGAACATAATATTGTAATATTGTATAGTTTAGGTGAGTGGGGACATTCTGTAACATTGTATAAAATAGGTGAGTGGGAACGTAATATTGTAAAAAAAAACAGGTGAGTGGGAATCTACTGTAATATTGTATAAAATAGGTGAGTGGGAACATACTGTAACATTGTATAAAATAGGTGAGTGGGAACGTAATATTGTATAAAATAGGTGAGTGGGAACATAATATTGCGAGAAGAGTGGGAACATAACATTGTATAAAATATGTGAGTGGAAACATAATATTGTAAAAAAAACAGGTGAGTGGGAATCTACTGTAATATTGCATAAAATATGTGAGTGGGAATAGTATGTAAATAATAGGTGGGTGGGAATCTGCTGTAATATTGTATAAAATAGGTGAGTGGGAATATTGTATAAATAATAGGTGGATGGGAATATACTGTAATATTGTATGAAATAGGTGAGTGGGAATATTGTATAAAATAGGTGAGTGGAAATTAATATTGTATATGTATACAACCTGTAAATAAATGTATGTTTATATTTGACTATTTATTTGTCTGTCAGTCGGGTTATTCATTCACTCCCTCCGCTCTGTCCATCCATCCGTGCACCCCCCCTCTCTCTCTCTCTCTCTCTCTCTCGCTCTCCCACTCCGTCTCTGTTTTATGAATAGTGTGTGTGTGTGTGTGAGTTTGTGTTTATTTGTGTGTGTTTATTTGTGTGTGTGTTTATTTGAGTGTGAGTGTGTGTATGTGTGTGTGTGTGTGTGTGTGTGTGTGTGTGTGTGTGTGTGTGTGTGTGTGTGTGTCGTTAAAAAGTCAGAAAGGTTTATGTCCAAAATTGTTTTGAGGATTTCCTCATTCATTTGTTCTGACTTTAGCCTTGGATTATTAAAATGTCAAAGACCTTGAAGCACACAACTGTCCAAGAACCTATGAAAATTTCCAAACAGAAACAGTTGTTACGACACTGATGTTTAAAGACAATAAAGGAGACGAGTAGTAAACTGTTTCGACTTTTAGCAAAGTGGACAATATATTTACAGTCTCTTAATCTGACTTCTATCGGCGATTTAATTAAGCTTAATTTTGGGAAGGACTTTCTATTCGAATTATTAAGTACAGTTAACACGCTATTTGAGAAAAACATTCTTTAATTTCTGCATCTTAGACTCTCCCTATTGAGAATAATAATATAATATCATTATGTAGTCACATAGTTGGAGGAAACTTCAGTGAGAGTTGTTAGTCATTATGAACAACAGTCTTTGGACCATAAGATGGTCGCCCAGTTTCCATGCTACACTTTTGCATAATGAACGGAAGTCCATAAAATATCAACATGGCGGCCTCCGTTGATTCCAACGATTCCGCAGTTGTAGAAAACGGTTTGTGTATATCATTTTCAAAGCATTTTTGCTGTTATGTATCTTCTTGTAGTTTTAAAATAATGTTATTTAATTAGTTAAACAAGTTCACTGTCCTTCGATTGTCGCAAGATGCCGAATGTTGGCTCCAGATGTTACAGTTGTAGGCTTAGAATCTATCGGTTTATTACTTTATTTTGTTATTCAACTAGAATAGATCTAGAATCTATCAGACTGCTGAAATATTATCTCCCCTGTCTACCAAAGCAAAATAAACATGTTGAGCAGTGGCACAAAAGTCTGTAAAATTGAAATTTGGTGAACTCAACAGTGAACGAAGTCAGAACTTCTTTTGAGCCTCGCTGTGCAATGCCATGCAATGTGAATGTTTAAAATAGAATTGTTTTGATTTCATTTAATTTATAACTGTGTTTTTAAAAAAAAGATTGTTACTAGAAATCTAGATTGTAGATCTATCCAAAATAGTTATTGTTGCTAAGGGGGCAAGCCCCCCCTCAGCCCCCTGAACCCCCCCCCCCCCCCCCACTACCTCAGCCCCCTGAACCCCCAAACCCCCCCCCCCCCCAAAATCCCCTCACCCCCTCCCACTAACAGTAACAGGAGAGGAGACAAGCCCCCTAAAATACATGCCGTTTAATGTAGAATGACGCATCTCCCTGATTGGGTGCTAATTTTAGTACTGTGGTGTGTCATCTCTTCCTGGGATACGTGGAGGTAGGCTACCGTGTGGAATGACATGTTTTTGGTGTAGCCTATTTTAATAACATTTCGAAATTTCTAGTACTTGGACATGATGGAAGATCACTTAGATCTAGGTCGTTGATACTCAGAACAGTAAGATTTAAAACTCTTGTCCTGAGTCTGTGCTGAGATGCGAATCTTATCAGCAACCGATTACATCAGACGTTCTGGGCAGGCTGCCGGGGTCACTCAGTGTGTAGGCCTACTGTTGGTGTACAGTGCCCGCTCGCCGGGAAACGTGTGTTTTCGCCATGAATACCGTGGGAGTGTGTTAATCGAAGATGAAAATAACGCTCCATCTTTCATAGCTTTCTATTTATAAAGTGTTACAAACACATGAATATCCCCCTCTCATAAGCTGAAGACAATGGTACCTGCTCAATGGTATTCAAAATTATCGAATATAAGCAAGTTGTTTTTTTATCAGGTAGTATCATTTCATACAAAATCTAGATCTAGCTCATTTGAAAGATTTTGTATAGAAAAATGGTAGTCTTGTTTCCTGACTGTCCTTTCGAGCTCCTCGTGTCTAAGTGGGTCAATTTCATTGGACGAACATCTAGAGCTACCAACTTGGCATGTTTTGAACGAGACATATACCTCGGTTACGAACCAACACAGGCGGTTCAAGAAGAAGGCCACAAACGCACACAAACTCAAGCAGACTGACGCACACACACACTTGAGCTACGTGAATGCGGATCCGACTCGGGACCCGAATTCAAGGGGAGATGGTGCTCGGTGCGTGTGCGCTGAGCCAGGGGCTAGACTCACACGGGACCAGAACGCAGGCGAGGTGCCGAAATAGGCTTATCGGGCAACATAAACCCGGCCCCCGCAGGACGAGGGTTAAGAACGCTGTGCTTGAAATTAAAACACGGTAAACGCAAAGACAATAAACCGCACAAAAACTGCAGTAAAGACGCCAGAGGATTTTACTACACCCCGCCCCCTCCTGCATGCTTCATCACTAATATAATAATATACATTTTTTAAAAACTACAAAGCAACAAATTATAATTTTTGGAACAAACTGTTTGTCAGTCGGGAGGAGGAGAAGAGAAAAAAAACCCCAAAACCTTCCGGGACCGGGATTCGATGGCACGTTCGTAAAATAATTGCATGACTTCAAACGCAGACGGCCGCCTTACCTAAAAATAGTTTGCGTTGTTCTACATTTAATCGCATGTCCCTGAAACCCCCCACTGTTGCTATGGCTAAATCCATAATGCGCATTAATTTGATACCTGTAAATACAGTGGGTCCACTTCACGAAAGTTAAATCCGGCCCAAAAGTCAGTGGAATTACCAGTTTCTCTACTCATATATGACCTTATGCAGTTGCCAGCACCGTAAAACCTCTACTAAACCAAACAAAATTATTTTCTCCTGACTGCTGCAGATTCTGGGACAGATGTGGGGGAGAAGCCGGTCCTGGAAACCCTGACCTTTGGCTCCAAGGATGGGAGCGGTGAGGCATCCCCCGGTGCGGAGACAGTGGCCAATCTGCCGTGCCCGCAGTGCTCGTACGTCTCCGACAGCAAGGAAGACATCCTAGCTCACCTGATCCTCACACACAAGTTCCTCATCGCCGACGTGAACTTTGTGGCCAACCTGTCAGAGTGAGTCGTTATAGTTGTCTTTGTGGGAGCAGGTCGTGACCTCAGTGCTTTTTTGTCGTATCTCCATTTTTGATAACAGTGAATACAGTTCATAACAAAGAGTGAGCTTAAGAAGAAGTCACATTTTCACTGTTTAATAAAAATGGAGATGCGACAAGAAGGCAATGGGGTTGCAAGGTCTCGTGAGGGAACAGGTCTAGAGAAGGCTTTTCATTCTCACTCACACGTTGGGGCTGGCCTTGTGAGCAGCTGACGGTTTTTGCAATGGGGTTCTTTTTGTGCATAATGTTCATATATGTTTGTAAACAGATCTGACCAGCATCTGTGGTGTAGCAGTTCGGCACCTTGCTGTCACATGCAGAAGTTCCAAGATCAATTCCTTGTTCAGGCAGAATTTATATCAAGTGTCCAGGTCTTTCTGTTGGGACGTTGTTTCCCTCTCAGCGTGGGTTGCAAACGCCTACATTCTAGAAAAAGAAAAAAAATCACATACAATGTTCACACACACACACACACACACACACACACACACACACACACACACACACACAAGACTTACATTCTAACATGATGACTGTTTCCTTCTCTCCCCTCCTCCCCCCACCCTCCATCCAAAGAAAACCTGGATCCTCTTTATGCAAGTCTGTGATGCGTTCCATGTCTCTCATCCATACAGTAGGTAGTTGGCAGGTGCTCTGGCGAGGTTTGCTTCTTCTTTCCTATCAAACATCTATCATCTTTATCTCCCCTCCTTCTTTTTTGTGTTTGTTACTCTCTTGTAACACCTCTAATCTTGGGCACTTATATGACCTTGTTGTGTTGCAAGTGCCGTAAAACTCTTACTAAAACAAAAGCATCCATACAACAAGACTGACTTCACATTTGAGTAGAAAGTCCTCAGCTTTACCACCTCTCCATTTTTCCCCCACTCCAGGTACCTGAGCTATTGGAAGAAACGTCTGGAGGAGAAGCCTCTGTCCGAGTTCTGCTCCAAGATTGTCACCAACTCGGGCACTAAGGACGAAGGTAAGGCCGCGTGAGGGGGGCGCTTTCCTGGCAGGATGGAGGTGTGATGGAGGTGCGATGGAGTGAGGAGTCCATTGGAGGTACGATGGAGTGAGGAGTGAGGGGTCCTAGGAGGTACGATGGAGTGAGGGGCCCATAGGAGGTACGATGGAGTGAGGGGTCCGTAGGATGCAGGTACGATGGAGTGAGGGGTCCATAGGAGGTACGATGGAGTGAGGAGTCCATAGGAGGTACGATGGAGTGAGGAGTGAGGGGTCCATAGGAGGTACAATGGAGTGAGAGGTCCATAGGAGGTACGATGGAGTGAGGGGTCCGTAGGAGGTACGATGGAGTGAGGAGTGAGGGGTCCATAGGATGGAGGTACGATGGAGTGAGGAGTGAGGGGTCCTTAGGATGGAGGTACGGTGGAGTGAGGG